GCCTTCTTACTGAATGCCCACTGCAGGGTATTCTGCCCAGTTGTACACTGCCTTCAGCTGACCTAGATGCTGGCTGAGGAATACCTACCTATTTTCACCAGTATTCTCTTTGTCAGGGGTAGAGTAATTACAGGGTAAGATGGGTCGTAGGCCACTACTCCCGGGTAGCAGGCACTTGATCAGGACCCTATGGAGATTCCATGTGTGTGTCAGAAACAGAAGTAAGCAGACATGTTAAAGTGGAAGTCTGACAGATGTGGGATTGAAATGTAGGTCTGGGACTACCAAGGACTGAGCTCTTTCTTGCAGTGACCCTGTGTAGTCTCTTGAACCCAGAGTCACTGTTGCCAGCCCTCCCTGTCCACATGGATCATGAATGGGCTTTTCCTGGCACTTTCCTGAGAGAAGTGATCCTCTCACACTGGAGATCTGGGCTTGGACTTCCTGCGAGGCCAGTAGGTCTGCCTGTAATCCCCATTCAGCACTCCTGGAGCCTTGGTGTCTGGCCTTGCCAGTCAGCCACAAGCTAGATGCAGAGTTTCTAGTTGGCCACATGTTTCACATCTTAGTTTCTATTATTCTGTCACCCCAGCTGATACTAATGATTCACAAGTTACTGGTCAGTGAATATGCAGAGGCAGCTGTGGGGGAAGAGCCGTGGCAGGCTTTATGGGATTGCCTGAGAGGTCGTTTTCCCCAAGTCCTAGTCGGTGATTAGATATGGGTAAAGAGGTTAGTGGAATGGAACTACCTTTGGAAACATAGGCCTAATTTTTAGTGTTCATTTGTACCAACAGGCTTGATTTGACTGGTCCTGTCACATCAGTATAAATGCTTATTCAGACTTTGTTCCTAGTATGTCATAAGGAAAACCATCTGTGCATTCTGAACTAAGTTTCTGTAATATCAAGCTTGAGACTTTAGAGGTAAAATTGATCCAATTTCTGTAAAATAACTTTCACAATTGAGCTGATGTTTTATCAGTGTTTACCTGTATATGCGGTCCTATTTTAAAACTGTATATGTATTAATATGACCTGTAGAGCAGAATTTGAATTTAGGCAACCTGTATTGCCCAGAAACAACCTTGATCTACCAGCAGCCAGTTTTTCGACTTTGTTGAAACAACTTTATCTTTTCTTATGAGTTGGTTTGCCTAATATCATCTCATTTGCCTTCCTAGTGGACCAGGAGTGATTACCTGGTAGGCACTAATGTAAATGCCACACCAGGTTTTTAAGGTAGATGAGCCAAGGATTGAGCATATGTGGAGATCACATTGTTTTTCTCACTGTGACCACAAATGTCTATGATGTGGCAATGAGATGATATGTGGTTGCAATTCATAGGGGGACAGGACTTAACCTGTTCACGATGACAAGTAGTAGCACACAAGCATTTGAATTTAGCTCTCTTAATTCCTATTTATTGAACTTCACCTTCAAATACACAAAAGTTCAAGACAGAACAAAGTTTTGCTTTTTAATGGCCGCATTTCATCAACACTGTTGGTATATTCATGCTACTTTAAAAAAAAATGTAATGACTGCCTTAGGATTAACAAATTGTATCTTTAAATAGTAACAGTCCTCCTTCAAATGATAAATACTGCAGATGCAGTGTGAGAATCTCCCACCTCTTGTTTCATTCATTTACTTTTATTTATTTTTTTCTTCAGCGAAGATAGCAGAAGGGATGATTTATTGTATATGTTACATTCAGTCAACTGAGAAGAGAACTAGTCCAAAATGTCACAGGTCCAGGGCAGAGGACCAAGGGGACTGGTTTTGGTGGGTCTCTCACAGGTGGTCATGACAATCAGATGGTTATGAATGTTCTAGATTCAGAGACAAGTTCTGGGTAGTAGCATGCAGTCCAACAACTAGTACCAGTATTCATGGCCTCTGGCTTTCCTTATTTCTGCTTCTGTGGCTTCCATGGTGACTCTCAGTTTACTTGGACCTCCGCCTCATCTTTCTTCCTTTGTACCTCAGCCTATGTATTCACTTCTTCCACTTGGCTTTCATGTCTCAGAGGCTTCAAAGAAGATGGTGCTAAGGCCAAGAGACATTTTATTTTTGAGTATTCTATAAGCTGTTGCAAAACTATTTTTGCTTTAGATTGTAGTCATTAGTATTTTAGAAAAATTAGATGTAAATATGAAAAAGAATGTCTTTTATATTATTATTTACGAGGAATTTCCTTTCATTAAGTAGTTTCAAGATTATGTTTGGATTCAATTCATCTTACCTGAAAAATTTCCTTTCACATTGTTTTGTGGCCCTGATGTGATGTAAAGAATCCAGTTTTTTATTGTTTGAAAAAGTTATTTCTTTATTTCTCATTCATTTTTGTGAGTTACTTAGAATGGATATAGAATTCTTAGTTGACTTTTATTCTTTCAGCATTTTAAAGATGTCTGACTTCCATGGTTTCTGATGAGAAGTTTGATGTAATTCTTGCCTTTCTCCTCTACATGGGATTTCTTTATCTTAAGACTTTCTTTATATTTCTAGGTTTCAGCAATCTAAATATGTTGGACCAGGTGTGAATTTTTGTATGAATGTGGAGAAGTCTTTGCCCTGCTTGTTGTTCTCTGAGATTCCTGATGATTTGATCTTTCATTATTATTTTTAAAAGATTTATTTATTCATGCACATAGAACTGGGGTACAGGCCAGAGGTGCAGGGGTGGTGAGAGGATTCACCAGAGACAGAATGGGGAGCAGAACAGGCAGACTGATGAAGTACACTTGCTGAGGGGAGCAGTGGGCAGGTCAGGAGAGGTCTGCCACGCCATGTGGATCACCTCTGGGGCTGGGATCGAAATCATGCTAAAGTAGCTTTAGGTTCTTAGTGCTGTGCTTTAACCCACTGCACCACCAGGGAGGGCCTGTCTTTTCAGTATTTTTGGAAAGTTCTAGTATTAATCTCTTAAAATATCTCTTTTGGGCCTCCCTGGTGTGAAAGGGGGTTAAGTCTCAGCACTATGAAGCTATCCGCAGCCACTATAGCACAAGTTCGATCTTCATCAGGGAGCTAACCCACAGGTGCAGCAGACCTCTCCTGTCTTGTCCATTGCTCCCCTCAGGAGTGTATTTCAATTGGTCCTGTTCTGCTCCCCACTCTGTCTCTGGTAAATCTTTTCTCTCTCATACACACCCTACATCTCTGGCCTACACCCCAGCTCTTGTATGCATAAATAAATAAATCTTAAAAAGAAATCTCTTTTGTCATGGTTCTGTCTCCTCTTCTTCTGGGATTCCAATTGGTATGTTAGGCCATTTGGATGCTCTGTTCTGATTTTCCCTCCACTCTAGCTTTGAATTATGCCTGCTGGCCTATCTTTAAGTTTTGATTTTTTCCTTCTTAGCATATCAGTTTGCTGAGAAGCCTGACAAAGCATTTTTCATCTTTGTTACTGTACTTTTTTTTTTGGTTTGTTTATTTCTAGTATCTACATTTGAGTGTTAGAGTTTCTGGCTCATCCCTGAAATTTCATGTCTTTTTGTGCATGGATTCATCTTTTCCACTAGTGTCTTTAACATATTAACCATAAATTATATCTCATGATATTTTTAGCTGTTTTAAATTCCTTATCTGGTAGTTCCACAACTGAGTCTTCACTGAGCCTAGTTCTGTTGATTATTTTGCCTCTTGACAGTGTTTTCAAGTGTGTTTCTTGCATTATAATGAATAAAATATCATTTGTAGGGTAGAAAAATCCTGAAATATTAGTCCTGAGATGGACTTCCTTCTTCTGTTTCTAGGTCTTTAGGAAGGGGAATTGAATTAGACTAGGTGGAGGTTGCACTGGGGTTGTATTTTATTGTTGTTGTGTTTACCTTCAAAACATCAAATTCCCTGATGTTACTTTATGCTTAGAATGGGGTTGGGAAAGTGCTGGTTTTGTAGGTGTTCTAGGCCTTTGTTGTGCACCTCAGTGAGAGTTTCCATGTCCTCGCCCCTCTTCCCCCCCTCCAGTAGATTACCTATTACTCTTCTTGCTACCCTGCAAGTGGGGGCAGCATTGGTTCTGTGTTGTCTTGGGCGAGCCTCAGGTTAAGCAGGCTATATCCCAGCATTGTCTTAGTAGTAGGGCTCTCTCAGTCATCTGATGCCTCCCATAATGAAGGGCTCTCTTAGTCATTTGATGTCTCCCATAGTGAAGGGACATAGTATAGTCCTGTATGGATTCTTGTGTTGCCCAGAGAGGAAGATGTTACTTTCCCCCAGCTGCAGTGGGTCTTTACTTGCTCCTGGAAACATCCAGGTTTACTGTCTTTGCCCAGGTGGCTTAAGGTTTTTTGTTCCTTAGGGAAGTCATGCCTGCAAGGCTTCATGCCTTTCCCACAGCAATAGCCAAACCTCTTCTCCAAGGCAATTTTCCAGGAAGGTTTCTTCTGATTTCTTTTCCTGCTCTGCTCCTGATCTTTCTCATGAGCACCTATGGAGGGCCAAGAAGAACAGCCAACAAGTTGGATACCAACCCCAGGCACATCTGTGACTCTCACCTCCCCTCCCCAACAGGTTAAAAGTTTTTGCTGAATTCTTACCCATTTCAGTTATGTATGCCTATTATATATGTATATATATTTGTGGTAGAAGTATTGTATAAAGGTGTACTACTGTGCATCTCCTCTCAATTCCACATTCATGTTGGTAGCTTGAATTGGTCATGATAGAAGTTATTTACATCCTAGAAATCAGTAAATGTTACAGATGAAGACTTATCCCTTTTCAAGAGCCTATTGTTAAATGTTTTGAGAATACCTCTGATGGGGAAACCCTGGGAAAATTGACCATGGAAGTTGATGCCTTTGGTGAGGGGCTCGATGACCTCCTGGGAGGGCAGTGCTCAGCAGCTTCAAGCAGCTGTGCTCACCGCCTCTACAGAGTAGTCACCAGGCTTCCAAAAGGGATACTCACCTGGGGAGATCCCTCCACGGTGGAAATGGTATGGGTTCATGCAGCTGCCCTCTCTCCCCCTTCTCCCCTCAGAGCGCAGCCAAGACAGTGTGGCCGTGGCCCTTTCAGACTCCAGCTCAACACAGGACTTCTTTAATGAGCCAGCCAGCTCCCTGGAGGGCTCCCGAAAACCTTGTGTAGAGAAGAGGCTGCCTGTTCCCAGTTCCCAAGCAGCACCGACGGGTAAAGACCTTCAGGGGTCCATGGAAGAAAGAGGTATGCAGACTTAACTGGGTGAATTAGAACTTTTGTTGTGCTGTGGTGGTCTGGAGATTTGTAACAACTCAGGGTCTGGAGTGGCCCATCCTTTGCTTTCATCTGTTGCCCAAGATGTCAGTTGGGCAAGTTACTCACCTCTCTGAGCCCGCATGATTCTCCCAGTGAATGGGAATGACCCCTGGCTTACTTCCAGGGCTATGAAGATTAAACAAAGCCACCAGGAAGGTGCTAGCATGAGCCTGGTGCACAGTATTCCCTCAGTGACACCTGATGCTGTGACTCCATCACAGCCCAGTGTGGGAAAGCCATATCTGTGCGGCTGTGTCCCAGTAGTCTCAGTGATAGGGCTCATGATAACATGACTGCTGCTATTTCTTTCTTT